AAGCAAATTATGGGGTTGATTTCATCTACATTATGATGTTTGTTAAGAATTAGAATAGCCCAGCTTCTCTTTGGGCTACTCCTACCACAAAATTTTGGACTGAGAAGCATTGAATTGTGGGTATTCTTTTTATTTGGCATTCTGAGTGTGTGAGTACTAATTGCGAACAATTAGACTAGACTGATGACATTCATGTTATTATCTACCGTGCACACCTTATGTAATGACTATATCATCTAAAAGATTGAGCCAACAATAATTTGGAGAATGTTGTTTCATGCCTTCCAGACACTCGGTCAAGTGTGGAGTGAATTCTTCAATAAAATGACAATAGCAAGTGCAATTACTGTAAAATGTCATAATTAGATTTGGTGCTAGGGCTTTTGCTTGCTCTGTTGTCGTAAATTTATTAGAGTAAGTTCTAAAATACACCATTCTCCTTACGATCAATTTGATTTCTGAAGTCTTGTCCTGTACATGCACATTTGAAATGCAAAGCATATACTTTCAGGTTTATTTCCAATATGAACATTCAAAAAGTACTATTCTTGCATGACTCTGAAGAGAATGGTCTCTGAAATGCTGTTAAAGATCCTCACCTATGGTTTTGTGACACGAGATATTAACAAAATTTTTATTTTGACATCCATAAGTTTGTCTTAAATGGTATTTGCACTAATCACAGGGTATCTTTTGATTTTTTCTTCTCTCGCTCTCTCACTATCCTCTATCAGTCTTACTCATGTTACAAAACATATATTTACTCACATTGTCAAATGCAAGAATGGGATTGTATGCTACTGAACTCACTTCTTTCTTTGTTGCTTGGTTTCCAACTTTGGCTAATTTTGGCTTTTTGTTCTTCTAATTATTGGTATACTTGATTGTGGTCTTATTACCTCACCTGACTGCTACTTGGCATTAGCCTATTCCAGTTAAATTGTTTGTGTTGTGATGCTTACATGGCATTTACAGTTTGAGAATGGAAAAGCCGTGTTGTTATGCATTTGGATTTGTCATATTGCTTCTCTAAATCTTAACCAGATAAAAGGATATACAGGAAGATGCTGATAGAAAAAAGTAAACTAGGAGTTCAATTTTGTTGTACTTGTCATATTATTCAAAATTATAAGGTTCTGATTTTTCTAAATGTCAGATGACATTGCTCATTGACTGAGGTATTTGTGAACTTAACAGATCCAATCAGAGAAGAAAGCAAAATCATTGAAAGATCATTTTTCCTCTGTCACGGAACCTGTAGAGGAATTGACACTAAAGAAACAGGAATTGATGAAGCAATTTGCAAATATAAAAGCACAGATTCAGAAGATCACTGGTGAGATTTCAGGAAATGGCCATTTTGTCAAGAAGAGGAAAATGAACAAGATGTGGTATTACAAAAGAAGATGAAAATGAACTAGCAAATACAACCTGAACAACACATTACAGGTTGGTTATATTTTCATCAATACTACTTCATTCCTGAACCTCTAATAAGCATGCACTTATGGTAAGCAATTTCAGAAAAAAGGAACTAGATTTTCCCAAGTTTCACATGAACATATGGAGCAGGTCACAAATGGAGCAGTCATAATGAAGAAGAAGGTTCGAACAAGCAGAATATCATCCAATTAAATCAAAATCGCCCCCCATGAAGAAGAAGGTTCGAANTTCCCCCTTGGATAAGTTTATTTTAAACTTGCAGATCCTTTACAGCAAAAAGTTTCCAAATGCAGTACTCGGTAGTGGGGAAATCTCCTAGTGAAGCAACATCTATTACATTTTCTGCAATTCTACCTAATTTGTCATTTACTCCCATAAATCTGAATTTTCTGTCTTCCTTTCTTGTTTTATTTGTCCCAGATAGTGCCTAGCACACGCTTTTCTAATATATATACTATTGTTCCGTTCCATCTTTAGTTGAAATAAATCTATTAACAGTTCTTAGGACAAAGATTTACTAGAAGAAAAAATGTTATCAAATATTTAAGCCTAAGAGATCATCCCTAACAGAGATCAATGTATCACCTACCACCGGTATCACAACACACCAACATCCTAAATCCACTGTTGTAGACACAATATTTTTTTTGATAGGTAATCAAATAATTTAATTAATCAAAAAAAATACACGGGAAGTGTATTATCAACTTAAATAAGAAAGAAAAGATATAAAGTTACGTAGCCCCTCTATAGGATTACTAGTTGCGGCATTAAACTAACTATACAAAGTCGGATAAAAGAATTCTCTAAATTGCTCTGTAGTCCGTGTTTGATCTTCAAAACAACGGTTTCTTTCTCTCCGCACACACCATATAATGCATATTGGGATAAGATTCCAAACAAGTTTGTTATCCTTATCACGAAACTTTATTCTCCATACCCGCAACACGTCCTCAATACATCTAGGAACACCCTATCTATATGTTGAGAAGTCAGACTATTATTCCACGCGATCAACAATTTCCACTTCTGCTGCATCAAAAACGTTATTACCCGAAACTAGACCACCGCTTGCTATGAAAGAATGCCACTAGAATCATGACGAGTGCAACTCATCATTCTCATTTTAGGAAACCTCCATGGCACCAGATACAACCATCGAAGAAGCACACCCTCCAAATACCAATGTCAAACAAAGCAGCCCTTCTCGGGCACTTCACAAAGTTTGACATCCTTCTCATTTTCTCTTATCTCTGTAAATTTTTGTTTTCTTAAACTCACCACTCTCAAACCCTGATACCAAAATCGTGGAATCTGCTTTCTAACATGAGAATCTCGTAGGTGAGAAATTAAACATCAAGTGCACCACAAATACCTCATCAATTTTCCAAAAATAATGTTTTCTATTTAGACACTCAATCTCTCATATGTGTATATCAATACCATATATTGTATGGAATTGACATAGAACCTTTGTTAACTATGAAAAGATTGTGACGGCATTGGTCTTTTGTCACATTTACACGATTGGAAATTATTAATGAGCAGTCCAACCTCCTACTCCTATGGAGGTTCTAGAAAACGTAAGGCGTGACAATGCAGCAAGGCTAAGCCTCAAGTCTTACTAGCTAGGCGTAATGTGTCGTTTTCTTATTTTTAATAGTATTTTAATTATTCCAAGATTATAACTAGTAATTCCTTTTATTTAATTAGTTTATATAACTTTTAAAAAGTAGAAAATAAAAGGCGTGCACCTTTTGGCTCTTGGGCCACATATTAGTCACACATTTTCTAGGTCCGCATTATAAAGCTATCAAATTAGAGTTGACCACATTTTTCACGCATGTTTCATAAGTAGGATGACTTCTTCACGCTTCACACCTAAGCCCTACATTTTAGAATACTAATTCCCATTGAATGACGCTATTTCAGGGTAATGTAAAAATCCAGCTTAACTGATTTATATTTGTTTTATGATGTCCAAATTTCCAATATTCTGTATTTAAGTCAATTCTACCCAACTAGTACCAATGGACAACATGGAGAAGAAGTACTACGCATGGGAATTATTACCCGTTTCTTTATTAGGCTCGGTACATGTTAAGTATGGACACTCCTACTCAGGTGGTGTCTAAGAAGCGTGGATACGTGTAAACTTATTGCTTACCCTTCGATGTGATCTAATACATACCAAATATGCGTTTTTTAATTATTTTATATTTTATAAATTTCAGATGTGTATCGGACTCGTGATGAAGAAGAGTTTCATTGGTTTTAACTCTTTTAAAACTCACTATTATTGGTAATAGATGTCAAAGTTTGTTATCAATAACTTATTGAAATAAATAATATTTATTAATTAACAATTTCAAAGAAAGTAAACATATTTTAAGATAATAGAAAACTACACAGTTTACGCTTAAGATAAAATGTTTTTGTATTTTATTTTATTTTTATTGCCAGGCTTATATTTTAATTTTTTATAATAATTTTTCTAAAAAAGCTCTATCTGGATATCCATATCGTATTATATTCAAATTTTGTATATGAATCCGTGCTTCTTAGGGTGGTGTGCGACACCGACCCTCTTTGGACATTTCGCAATGTGTTCGACATGTCACATGGTGAGTTCTACCTTTGATATATTTTTAAATTTTCAGCAATAAAGCAACACTTCCCAGATACACCTCGGGAACATGTCTGACACCCCATAGTGTGTCCTATATTGTTCATAGTTTTTATAGTTCATATACACGAAGAACATCTGGACACACCATGAACATGCAAAGCTCCAATTTCCTAATTTTAGAATATTAATATTATCAAAATAATGTATAAACTTTAAACTGGACTAAAATGATTTTACCTGCCAAAGTCAAAGCCAAAAGAAGTGTTGATTTTTGTTATGAAAAACTATAGAGGTAGAATAATAAAGATATAATATATGTTATTATTTTAAAGAATTTATATTGAGATGTACATGTCCTACTTTTTGAAAATCACGTTTCTACATATCCGTGCCATGTCATGTTTGTGAAGCGTGTCTGTGTCCATATACCTTTTAGCTTGGCACTAAGAATGGCTGGGACAACAAACACCCATCTCATTATATTTGGAGGACTGTTGAAGTGTCTAAATCATAGAAATTAGGAGGGCTAATTAGTAGCAATTTGCACATATCAGAAGAAACACATGTTAGAAACATTTCTATGTAAAGCTTCGATATAGGCATTTATAACATGCATGACTGACTGATAAGTTTAAGTTATTAACATGAAGGATGTGTCATTTTGCAGTCTGAACGCCTCCAGAAAGTCTTGGATTATGTCAATGAAGTGCACTCCTTGTGTGCTGTATTGGGTTTGGACTTCACTAAAAATGTGAATGATGTGCATCCTAGCTTGAATGTAACAAGCACGGAACAGTCCAGAAATATCAGCAACAGCACATTAGAGGGTCTAAACCAGTCCATCATGAGGTTAGAAACAGAGAAGAAATTTCGATGTCAAAAGGTATTCTGTCCTCTAATAATCCTGTGTTGGCTCCTCTTTGATTTTTCATACTAAACTATAATTGTTGCAGCTGAAAGATGTTGCTAGGTCACTCTTTGACCTCTGGAATTTAATGGATACAACGAAGGAAGAGAAGTTTAAATTCTTGAAGATTACTTCGATTTTTGACTTGACAGAATCAGCAATTGTGGAACCAGGTTCTCTTTCAATGGAGATTATTGAACAGGTTTGGAAGCACCATCATACCACCCTGTCAACTCTCCTTCGTCTAGTAGAACCTAGGTGTAGTATAATTTTTATTCCTACAGGTATCAGTGGAGGTTGAGAGGCTAACTAAACTTAAAGCAAGCAGGATGAAAGAACTTGTCATGAAGAAGAGGTCAGAGTTAGAGTATATATGCCATAAAAACCATATTCAACCTGATTCAAGCACGGCTTCTGATAAAACTAATGCTTTAATAGACTCTGGTAGGAAATCTTGTCCTCAAGTGATAATCTCTTTTCCCACCGGTCAACCCGCCGGGCTTCCTTTCAAGTACAATTCTTTGCAAAGAGTGACGAGACTGGAATGTTATTTTTTGCAGGTCTTATGAGTCCTTTAGAACTCTTGGCAAACATCGAAGCACAAATAGAAAAAGCAAAAAATGAAGCTTTGAGCCGTAAAGAAATAACGGATAGGATAGACCGATGGCTTTCTGCCTGTGATGAGGAAAATTGGCTTGAAAATTATAATCAAGTAAGCTCTGACATAGTAGGATCATAAAAATATACCCTCAAGTTTTATAGCTTCCCAGTATATTTTTTTCCTTTCATTTTAGTCTAGCTTGTAGATGTATGTACTTATTTACTATACAGAATTGTCGTTGGACATGAGAATTGTTTTTCTGAGAATGTTCTAATAGCTTGTATTGAATATCAGGATGAGAACCGTTACACTGCTGGAAGAGGCACACACATAAACCTAAAGCGTGCAGAACGAGCTCGAATTACTATAAGTAAGATTCCAGGTAAGCTTTAGAGCCTTCTGTTGTCTTCTGACTCTTCTCTAGGCTGAGCTGGTAGTACTTTTGGATCTAATAGACTGAGATTTCAGTAATGGTTGATAATCTGATTAGCAAGACACTAGCATGGGAGGATGAGCAAAAGAGACTGTTTCTTTACGATGGTGTAAGTTATTCAGAATTTTGGTCAACAGTTTGAAAATCTATAAAACTTTGCTATGTGGTTGAAGTTGATTTGATTTTCTTTTGTCTACAGGTGCATTTGGTTTCAATTTTGGCGGAGTACAAGCTAACCAGACAACAAAAAGAAGAGGAGAAGAAGCGAGCTAAAGTAATTTTATTCATGGCTAAAATTAAGTAATTTGTGTAACAGTGGTTTATATTCGCTGAAGTTATTGAGAAAAGGAAGTTTTTGCTGTTTCCGGGAGTCAAATGGGGGCTTTATTCTGCTTGG